CACACAAGCAGTATCAAATAATGTCACGTGTGTGAACGTTTCAGCTCAAATTTCATAAGCGTGAACAGTTTGTCAAATAACTTTCCAATGCAGACAACTAGGAGGCTATTGATTACAACTCAAGGTGTGGGGATATTAGGTATTAAGTTCTGCCATGCTTGCGAGTTTTTACTCAAGTCCTTCAAGACAAATTAACTTTTCCAACACTCTACTCTACAGAAAAGCCATTGCTGTCATACCTGCTGGCTCCTCCAATAGCAGAATCCCATTGAACCATTGGAAGTATTTGGGATGAAAGCTGAACTTCAGTGGCAAAACCTGCCATGACATCTGTGTAATGCTCGCTGTTCTGTCTATTGGAAATAACAGCTTTGCACGACTTTCATAAAGTGCCTAACAAGCCGCCCAGCTGCAACGACAACCCAATGCGAAAACAGGTTAAATCCATCTTCTACCGCCCCCTGTAGTGTGTGCACAAAAAGGACAACCGAGTGTCCCTGTTCACTCGTCCGGGCGAGTTAGCAGCGACGATGTTGCGTGCATTGTCGTGGACACATGAAGCCACTTTCCCGGTAAGTCTACGCCACATCAATTAGTTAGCTGCGAGATTGTCAACTATGCGTCTGCCTGGTATACTCTGTCAGGTAAAGGTGGACCAGCTATTCTCATGTTAGTGACAAGCCTCCCCTCAAAGTATTTGTTTTACTTTTTAATTGATAGCATTAATCAGTCAATATTCTTATTGTCGGTAAATGTTTAATTATTAACATCCCTAAAGCAACTAGCTTCTTTTGAAGAAAAGATTGCGTTCCTGTTTGAGTAAGAAGGCTGAAAAGAGAATCATTCTTCAGTTAAACAATTTTTGACATTTTTGGGGGGGAAATAAATTCAGAGAAAGAAAAAAGGAAAAAACTATTTACCTCCTTGACGCTCGATCTCACAAACCTTCCAGATCAACTTTACATTTCTTCTGATGTTAAACGATGGCCTGTGTCTAGTCGGCTCCTCTCTTTCTAATTATCCTTTGGTGTGAAAATACATCTTTCTTTAATATTTTCACAGTGCTCATTTCTCAAAGAACTTATGAAACTATTCTCCAAAATACAGTGACTGATGAGCTTTGGACTCAGCTATCTGTCTTGTCGACATTTACTTTCCTTCCCTACCGCACGTCCCCAACAAGGAGAGCAGTACTGTCTGTACTGTAGAGCCTAGGTTCCAGCCGGATACCACCTGATTTCACTCATTATCCTGGCTCCTGAAATAGTCAGGCCTATTAAATCACTTTTAATCAAGACCATGGTTCATCAAATCAAGGAGGCTTTAAAATGGTCTCAGTGGGAAAAGCGTTTTAGACCCCTTTGTCATGCCTGTAGCTGACCACCTCGGCTGTGGGAGAAGTCTTGATGAAAGCCTCTTAGTGCCACTTTAGTAGACTTAAACCAGAGTTCACGAATGATGGCCTGTTAGACCTGATGTTCACCTCTAATTGATGAATGCTTGTATTGTGGCGTGAGGTGCATGATTGCATAGACTCCTGCTGATATTGTGATGCCCTGTTGACTTGTCTGTGGATTGCGGTGCTCTGTTTTTACTGCCTGTTGCTTGATTATTCTGAATCTGCATCTCTTCCTCCATTAAACACTACTTAATTTTCATTTTGGCATTAATTGGAATATTTTAAATAATTAGAACTTACAACAAGTTATTTTGCATTTCATAAACCACATCGGATGATTGCTGATTAACTGCATTTTAATGTGTCTATAAAGTCAAGTTGTGACAGGAATGTGAACTCCAGTGACAATAATCTATCAGGGCTTTGGTTTACAATGAGGAGAAACGAGAAACACAAAGGGATGCACTAGGTTGCCACAAATATCCATTCCACCAAAACAGAACAAAAAACTGGAAACGCAAATAGAGAAAACTGAATCTGAACAACTCAGCAATTTTTTATATTGTGTCAGTAGCCTATTTACTCTTGCAGAGCTCTGGAGGATAACCTCTAAACAAATTATCTTTCACCCAGGGAACCAAACCTCATAAACATATCGGCAGCTAAGCGAAAAGATGGTGTGAGCGAATGAGATCTTTTGAGACTTGATCTACTTCTGATCAACGATAGCATCCATCAAAGTTCTTCCCTGGGGAAGTTGGAATGTTGTAATCAAATTATGTAATCATGTTATGCTTAAGAGAACAAATATCCAAAGGCCTTGGAGCACCACTTCCATTAATCCAGGATGTCTTTTATACTTACAGTACAAAGACTTCCGTAATCAGATTCACTGTAAACATGAATACCAAAGCAGGGAAACCGCTAAAACAATTACTTTGCAATCTAGTCTTTCTTATATGAAGTACGTCAAAGAGAAAATATACGGTACGTCGACTCTTTTGTAGCTTTTTGTTTGACAAAGATTAGCAGCAGTGCTGAATCAGCTCGCCTTCAGTTGCACCTTCACAGGAAGAGCAATGAGGCTGACATCCACACTTTTCTTTTCTTTACCTGCATCAATCATTTCCAACACTTGATACAGTAATACAGTAAGGTGATCCTCTGCTCACAAAAAATGACGCATTTTGTTTCATGCACAAGACAAATCTGTACTTTAAAATGCTAAAAAATTCCCTTTATTCACACATGCTTGTGAGACTTTTAAAACAAAAAGCATGATTGGAGTAATTGAAGACACAGGTCCAGCGTTATATTTCTGCCGAGCAGCACTCATGATATCACCCATCTACACCAGCCAACCATGAGGACGAGATCAGGCGTTGTTTGTGAAACTCATGCCAAGATATTTGATCCAACCAATATCGTATCATTGTGTGCAGATCTGTAGCAATTATGCAAACATGCCATGAGTGTTTTATGGAAAAACCTTACGCTCCACGGGTGATACCACCACATTAACCCACACGTATCAACACACCAGGTCAGCGAGAAAATAAAATGTAAACGAATGAACAATACTGTCACAAAAAGAGACTTTTCTTGTTCCCACAGCCAACTGCTTCCTGAGCAGCAACACTATGAGCTGATGAATCGTGCCTACTGACCATCGTGAGAGCCTAATAAATGAGAACTTACAATTGTATCTACGTTGAAGCGGAAATCTGATAGCTGTGATTATGAGCGACGGACATGTTACATGAAGAAGTATGTACAGTATGAGCTTCATTTAAAATTCCAAGCTATGGCTTCCAGCCCTCAATGATTTATGCCTGAAGCCTGCATTCAGAGGTCACATCCACACAGGGAAATATGAAAAAAAGTTCTTATGCGTACCCAACATTGATGTAATGTTTTACTATATTTTACCGTGATTTAGATCAATTACATGCAAGATACATAAAAGCTAACTTGAAATTCTGTTCCTCTTCAAAGAGAGTTCTGAAAGCATTGCGCCTCGCCTGAATTTGTCTTTTTCAAATACAGCCTTTGCACAAAGAACATGATAAGGTTCAAAACAATAAATACAGAAGAGTTCCATGTTAATTAGAACGTTAGATGTAACAAACCACCCATTCGCCACACAAGCAATGTGTTTGTCTCTCTGACAAAGTTCTGGCTGTATTACTTACAAATTCTGGTAACTCTGATTTCATATGCACACGCACACTTGACTTCAAGGAGAGATTGTTGTCAACATCAAGATAAATCCATCAGTTACACAAGCGAGCGTCGTGGCAAAAGAACCATTACCGACAGATTGAGCGCCTGCTTTGCATTCACCGGACATATGCTGCTAAATTAGCCCTGTGTAATGGTCGAGAAGGAGCCGCATGTTGTGTCAGATAAGGCACAGTGTTAACCCATGCATGTGATGAAAACCATATAAACTGTGAGATGGTTGAAACAATATGAGATGAAACATGGAAAACTGTGATTAAAGTAGAATCTGTGTTTGAACTTTGATTGTGTCTTTACATATACCATAACTCAGTGTTACAGGCTTTTCATTCACCCTTAACAAACACAACGGGGGTAATCCAGGCAAGAGCTGCCGACCGCCTTTTCATGCATTTTCAATGAACACTGCTGCTTGAGTAATATATCATGAAATATTAAATGTTGACCTTTTAATGCTCTCGAGTACTGACTCAGGAGTGGTCTTTTATTACATAATCAACTGTCTGGGAGCTGCAGTTTCTCTGTCAACCAACAATCAACGATTCTTATACAGAGAGGAGGCTATCATTTTCCACCGAACTATATGCTAATTGTGTTCAAATGAAAATGTGTGATTATAAACTGTTAATATCAGTTACATAGGCCTACTGTAGCGCAAGCTATTCATGTATCTAGCTATCTTGTCATGTTTTAATTAAACACGTTGCACCTTCTTGTCCCAATGTATGGTGTCTGAGGTGAGTTTGAGTCTCAATGCGTGATGCAACACAAAGTATATTGTTAACACTGTAGTTTGCTATATGGGAATTGACGGCAGATTGCGTGACGTCACGTGAGCATAAGCACGCCCGATAAGAAACGAATGATTAGTTGGCCCCAGTGTGAAGGCTGCCCTGACTATAGGCGCACCTCCTGTTTACATTTGACATGCACCTGCACGTGCAAGGGGCGCGCTGCAGTAGCTCACTCTCTGTGTTTTCTCAATGACTATTGTAAATTATGCCGGCTGTGGCTGACTAAGTAGGCTAGACTACACGCATTTGTAGTTCCATGGTCATCCCTTCCAAGCAATTTAAGCAATTTGTCAGCTATGTGTTCAAAGCAAACGTCCCTCAGTTAGGTTGCCCATTTTCAAAAACAGCGACACGTCTCTGTTGTCAGAGTATATAGTTGGTTGATCTCTACTCGCCTCGGACTAACCGTTATTACCTAAAATCCCTTAAATAAAAAAAAATGCCCTCGACACAAACTAAGCTGCATGTAGAAGTCCGCCTTGTTCACATCACTTAATTTGCTTCATCACAGCTAAATAGTTCGTTCTAATGGAAAAGGAACACGCAAAAGAGGCTGTCTTTCTTACCTGTAAATGGCCCTGGTACATATTGAGCACACAGTCAGTCGCGGATCTCCGTCAGCGGATCTTTGGACTTCTTCCAGACTTATGAAGCAGACAGTCGGACTGGAAGTGTTGACATGAAAAGATGTAGCGGAGTTTGTTTTTTTTTGGACAGGAGGTCCGGAGGATCTCACAGAGAGGAGCTGTCCTCTCTTTAGGTGCTGAAGCTGACACTTTGCGCTCTTCCAGGATTTCTGTGCGCAGGGACACCGAGGCGCGCCTTGCGCAAGAGGAGCGCGACGTCGGACCTCACTTTTACCTTTCCTCACAGTGTGCTGACGCTGGGTTATGACAAGTACAAGCCTTTGGAGTCCTTGTTGGGGGGGGGGGGGGGGAATCACCGCGATTTAAGTCTTCAACCCTGAACGCATTGCCGTTTTCCACGTATCTCTCCCTCTCTTTGGGTCTCTGACCGCGCTTCTGTCTCCCTCTCTCCTCTCCTCTATCGGCGTGGGTCTAAATGTTTGGACGCTTCTCGGGGTTCATTCTCTTCTTATAGTGCGCTCCTCTTTCCCGTTTGCTAACTACTCCCTCTGACCCAGCCCTCTGGTGCCTCCTCCAGTGCTGACGTGCTCCACAAGGAGGCACACAAGAACATTTCACTCACACTTCAGAGCTTGTTGAGAACACACACGTGGAAAGTGTCCAAAATGTGCACACAATTTCATCCAAATCTGTAGTTATTGAGCATATCTTTTTCCTTTGTGTCCTGCAAACAATACATAGCAAGTTTATTTAAAGTGCTTCTCAATCATTCTTTCTAGATCAACAATACATAATGTTTTGGTAAATTTCTGTGGTTGTTCAATTGTTGAAACATATGTTTCCGTTCCTCAGTTATTATGCAACATATTGTGCAATTTCCTAATTAAATGCGAAAAGCAAACTGCATACAGCACACATTATGTCTGAAAGAGTGTGAGATTTGCATGCAAAGAGCAAATTAGCTGTTGTTCCCAGTTGTCCAATTAGTGGAAGAAAAGATTATACAACCAAAACTTCAAGTCAAATAGTTTTACAGGTAATTATGTAGGAGAACTAGAGCAAATGATCTGGTGTGAGTGGAGGTACTTTAACCACAGCCATGTTGGCAAACACAATTTATCATCCTTTATGTAGTGAAAAGGTTATGAATGAAGTTTTAACAAAATGGGACATTTTTTATCTTTTCTCCAAAGTCCTGCTTGTTCATAGTTGTGCAAACCCACCACGTGACTGCAAACTTCAGTTTCCCAAAATAAGTTCCAGACCTATGAAATAAGAGACTCCTGACCAGTAGGCTAATCAACTTTTCTCCAGGCCGGCTGCTGGACGGCACAGGCAAAAACTGTAGGTGGCACAGCATGGAACTAAATTAAACATGAAAAAATAAATAAATAAATAGATTAACATATAACAACACCAGGTAATGTGCCAGGCAATTTGCGACAGATTGTACACAGAGATGCCCCTTCCACGTTTTCAGTATTACCAGCCTCATCAGCAATGCTGGTGTTGTTTTCACCTTGTGAGTCTGTGTGAGTCATCATGGCAAAATGTGGTCCTGGTAAGGCTGGTTATTATGTCTGTCTGACAGATTTTGTCAATGGGACAGCATCACAACTGTGCTAAATGCAGTCAGGAAACTTTGCAGATCAAAGTTTTTTGACGCCACAAAACTTTACAGGTGTGTAGTTGAGATCAAAATGAATTCCGAATTCGAATAAGGTTGTGGTCACAGCAAGGGCGCCAGAAGTAGGGGGCTAGGAAGTGAACAGAGTTTTAGTTTAGTTTTAGTGGTTTAGTGAATTAAAGCTGCACTAGGCAACTTCTTACACTGGCTGCTCCAAATGCCAGTGAGTAACCGATGATGTGAACCTCATTGTCCAGAAATCATGAAACATTTTTCTGTCGGCTTTCAAAAGGTAAAAGGATCAAATGTTAATGAGTGTACTTTTATCTTTATAGAGCGCTTAGTCGCTCCTTATTAAGAAACGAGTCCTATTACTCTTTATTTTTGTCGGCTGAAAACTGTTACATGTCATCAGACATTTTGGAGTTTATGTGTAAGGCCTACATTTTCACAAAAAATATTAGTTAGTGAAGCTTTAACTTTTTTTTTTGTTCTCATATGAAAGAAAAACAAGTGACACACTGTGCTATATAGCAACCACCCAAACAGTCAGTATTATGTGTTGTGCAACAACAGAAAGGCAGCAGTCCTTCCAATCCGCAGTGTTTTGATATTCTTCATGCCTCACCAGATGAAACCAAATCAACCCTCCAGGCATTAAAATCAGTGTGATTATTAGCCCTTGTGTTTGCATGCCTACACCAGAAATACACAAACATAAATTTGCCAGGCTGTGTGTCAAAATATTCTTTAATATTTGCACATGTTTTATCAATGAATAATGATTACACACTCACCTGATTTGAGATGACAGATGTGCACATGCTGGCCTTTGAATCTATTTTTCCTTTTTTTTGTGTTGTTTTTGTCCTCCATCAGCCATCAATCTCCTCGTGTTGACGGAGACATATGGCGAACATAATCAATGTTAAGAAGAGGGGAATTACTTCTCCGTACTCAGGACCAGACAGTCTGCACTCTCTGACGGACAAGTTATTTCAGTTAAATAGAAATATTCCTTTGAAATGTACCAGCTGAAAGAGAGAGCCACTAAGGTTTCATTGATGCTGAGCAGGAAATTGCAGTTTACTTACACCACAGCAATCTTTTGTTATTTTCAGTCATCACTCCTCACACATCCATGTTCACATTAAACTTTACAGTACCTGCTAACCATCAACATGTTAGCATTGTCATTATGAGCATGCTAGCATGCAGGTGTTTGCTACTATGACTGTAGGTTCTTAGTCTTGTTTTAGACTGGATGGTAAATTATCCAAAGGATTTTGAACATGTTTCACAAGCCACAGAGGTTAAAGAACTGTAAAGAGTGATAAAACCTAAAAATCATCCTACATCGAGTGTGGTTGGAGTTAAAGCACAGTTTCAGTATGTGGTTATCCCACTTATCCTGCTCATTTAAATGCTTTTTCACAGCTCGTTATAAACAAATCTGTCCGAAAACATTAGAATCACCAGACCTAGGGATATGAGGTTTTCATTAGCCAGTGATGAAAGCAGAAACACTACAGGATGTGTGAATTGAGTTTGAATAAAGACACTCAGGCTTCACCTAATTACTTTGGGGAGAGAATCCCACCTGAAGAGGCATGTGTAGTGCCATTTCAGATGAGTAATAATTATGATAAGTTCATGATAATCAAAAGAATTGACACACTTGTTGTTATTTTTTATTTTTTTTTACAGCCTTGTATGATGTATTCACTCCATCATTATTCAACCATTATATGTCAGCATTTAAAATGGCATCACAGATGCTAATGCCCATTTCTGAAATAGCCACTTAGGACACCTCAGAAATATATCAGAATACATTGATCTCTGGCATCACAGTATTTCTAATGAAGTAGTGCCTGAATATTATAAATGAGGACCAAAATAGCCGAGTTGTCACATTTGGCGTGTCCATTAATAGTAGACGTACACCAAATCCAACAGACAGATTTGCTGATTAAAAATTAAAATCTCCATTTCGTGTCATGTATCTTCTATTGGCTGATAGGTACATCATGTGACGTCACAGTTCCTTTAAGTCAAGTTAAGTCAAGTACAAAAATGTACTGCAGCTGAACATATGGGGAAAGCACATAGAAAAGACAAGATATTGTCAAGTATTGTTGATCTGTATTCACGGATAATTTTGTAAAATAGTTCCTGAGACACTGCCAGGTGGCTACTACACTGTTCACCACACAATATAGCATACAGCAAATAGTACAAAGCACTTTGTACCTCCAAACTGGTGCCTAATATAAGTCCAGTCCCATATCTCTACAGTGAAGCATGCTGCTCAGTCTGCAACTGTCACTTTCCCACAAACCTCAGGTCACAGACTGTCAACACAATTATGCACCTCATTTCACGATCGAATGAAAATTGCTCTCTTAGTTTTCGGTCATTTGTCGTTCTGGGTATTGTGTGTTTGTTTTCACGGTGCAATAGAGCGCAGTGACGTCACCACCGTGCGTTGTTTGCCTGAGACGGTTCAGACCTTCAGTCAGTGTGACCCAGCAATCTGAAAGTGTGTGTGTTTTCACAAACACACCTGTTAGAGGAACTGAGTGTTTGCTTGTTCTGTACTCTTTGAGTGTAACCAGAGAGACCTCAGTAATGTCAATCAGAGCATGTCTTTCTGCTTGATCAACGATAATGAATTGGGCACCACAGAGCTCATTCTTGTACTTCTATCTGTTCGGTCTCACTGCAGTTTTATGTGACTTTTCCTCCAAATCCAACACCTGAAAACCGACATGCTCCATCAGATCGCCTCAGACAAAATGTGATTTATTTTGATAAGGCACACAGCGGAACTACCAAGCTAACACCTAATCTGCTGTTTGGAGGACAAGTCATTAACAGTGAGCCAGCAAAACACAGAGCGGAGGAGAAGAATGACAAAAAGTTAATAGAGCAAACAAATCATGTCAAATGAGCTAGAGTGGCAGACACTTTGTACCACTTTACACTCTAACAAACACGTTTCCCTAACCCTTTGCCTTTGGTAAGGAATACACCAGCTTTGTTGGTAACTGCAGAATGTGATAATATTACTATTGGTACTAAATATGTAGAATATTAAAGACGGGTCACAATTAATTACACTACAAGGTGCATCAGTTTTTCTGGAAATATATGTAGTACAGAGTCTAGCCATGCTAGCGGCTCTCTGTGGCAGCACTTGAGCACATGCTGTCATGCTCACAATGATAATGCATTTTGAGGTTGATCTTTAGCGGGTGTAATGTTAACCATGTTCACCATGTTAGTTAAGCAAACACGGGCTAGAAACCTCCATGTATATCTGGTGAACAGTCCAAGCTAAATGTGGACACAACACAAAGAGGTGTCATCTAGACACCCAGCAGTAAGTGGATCTAAAAGCTCACCTCGTCAAAGGTTGACATGTTCTTTCAATGCTTTAATGAAAAGCAGGACTGTTTCTGTGTGCTATCAGTGTCTCCGGCGAGCTGACTCCACTTGGAGTTTGATTAAACAAATAGTCTTGGTTAACCGTGAGGTATTGGAGGATTAAACAGCATGCGTTGGCCTTGTTCACTCTTCTGGTAAATTATAGCCTGATTCACGTCTGTATCCTGGTGCCACAGACAGGATAAGGATCATGTAAGGCTAATTTTGCAGAGAAACTGGATGGTGTGGGCATAGATGTGTCCCATTCAAGTTTAACGTGGAGAACAAACTTGCA